ACCAGGAGGAAATGGAAAATACATCCTCAAGTACTTAGAACCTTTTGCCCTCAGTCATAGTCAACATCCCATTTCCGGCTTCAGAGGCACTCAGAAGAGATGTTGGCAGAAAGCCCACAACAAAGCAGACACACCCTGATGTACATCCCACCCTGCCCTTCCACTTCCAAGGGTCAGGCCTCCTCAGGATTAAATAAGCTGTCAATGGTGATAACAAAAGGAATCAGATCCAGGGGACCAACCAAATTGTTCCAGAGCCAGGAGTTGCACCAGACTAAAAGTACCTGGAAGGAAAGAAGGAGTCATCAGCCTGTGTCTGAGTTCAACTTTCAGAGTCTAAAGGAAATATTCAAAATTACGTGCTTTTCCTAGGTTGACAAATTCGGAAAAACCCAACTGAACATGAAAGAAGTAACAACACTAAATTTAAGTTACCTGCATACAGCCAACACTGGCAAATAAGCTCAGATAAATAAGCCTATTAAGAGAAGGGGACAGGAGGGACGTGCACTGCCTTTAACTAGATGCCCACTTCTCCCAGTCACCCCAAACAATCCCCCAAAACTAGGGCAAGGTACACACTGATCATTATTGATCTAAAAATCACTCAGCAGAAAAGGTCAACACATGTTTGTAAAGCTACAATTAGAAAGAGGACACAAAACACTCATTTGTACATTATCTAGAATGGGGAAATGTCCCCGAAATGGTAGCATTTGCCATTTCAGAGAAAAAAATACATTTTCATTAAATTTCTAATTTGGAAAGCTAAGATCCTTTTACACAAAAATGGATAAATAGTATAATATATAAAGTTAGTCACAGAAAAATAATGAATGCAGGAATGTAATTTTAATCAGAAGAACCCAAGTTTCTAACTGTAGTGATAACCATTAAAGTAGCTCCTGCTAAAAAGGAAAAAAAAAAAAAAAAAAGGCTGAAACCTAAAAGAGTCACCTGCTGATTTTAGAGCTGGGAGGATAACTATTTTAAACATTGATCTTTAGCAGCTGAATTAACAATTCATTGATCCCATTTTTAAAATCTGCATTTCAAAATAAAGTATTTCAAACATTCATATATAATGATCAGTAAAGCATGCCAATTTTTTAAAAAGCAAAACATTCACTAAGAATCTAGACTTCTGTCACCAGTTCTAACTGTACTTAAAAAATTATTTTCAGAAAATTTTATAAATTAAACATTAAAAAATCTAAAGAAGGGGGCCTCCCTGGTGGCGCAAGGGGTTAAGACGCAACCTATGAGACTGTACTCTGCCTCTGCAGCACAAGTTTGATCCCCAGCCAGCCAGGGAGCTACCCAGATGGTGCAGCAGACCTCTCCTGTCTCACCTGCTGCTCCCCTCACCAGTGTACTTCGGTTGATCTGCCTGTTCTGTTCCCCACTCTGTCTCTGGTGAATCTTCTCACTGCCCACCCCCCATACCTCTGGCTTGTACCCCAGCTCTTGTATGCATAAATAAATAAATCTTAAAAAAAATCTAAAGGGCCTACCTGGGGGTGGGGGTTATCACTCCCACAGCCTGAATTGATCCAGGCCAGGGAGCTAACCCACACGACGCAGCAGACCTCTCCTGTCTCTGCAGTGTATTTCAGTAGATATGCCTGCACTGCTCCCCACTGTCTGGTGAATACTCGCGTACTCCCACACCTCTGGCCTATACCCCAGTTCTTCTATGCATAAATAAATATATAAATTTTTTAAAAAATCTAAGGAAAAATATTTTTATAGTTAGTGTCTCACACTGCTTTCCACTGAGCTGCTGGGTTTTTGTTTTTGTTCCCCCCCCCCCCTAGCTATTTTTCTTTTTTGTTTTTTGGGGAAAAAAAAAAAGCCTGAAAAACAAAAATCAAGAGTCCAGCGGTCTTACATCCCTACAATGTGGAAACCACCATATACTTCATATTATAAATATTTGTCAAAATTTTATTTACTCAAATAGACCGAGATGTTCATTAAAAACATCCTAACACATGGCTTAAAAAGTCCTTAATTTCATAAAGGAGTCCATGCCTGTGATTATAAGTTTAAAATATTATTGCAGTATAGAAAAACATCAAATTTGGTAAATGTTAAAATTAACTAGAAAAATGGAGATGAGGTCTTCACTTGGGATATTGACACAGACCCCTCTTTCTTGCAGCAGACCTTATATATTGTCTACAATTCCATATATTCCATATCCAGCTGCTGACTTGATTCAAGAAATCTGCCTATAGTCTTTCCAATTTAAGGGAGGAAATTCCATCAGTCTTTCTATTTCAAGCTTCATTTGCATACTGGGGTTGAATTGTGTTCCCCCAAAAGATACCGAAGTCCTAATCCCCATTACCTGTGAAAATGACTTTCTGTAGAAATAGTATCTTTGCAGATGATCAAATTAAGATGAGGTATTAGACCAGACTCTAATTCAATATTACAGTGTCCTTACAAGATGGGGAAATTTGTGCACAGAGACAGACATGCACACAAAGAAAGCCCATGTGAACAGGAAGGCAGATATCAGGGTGATACATCGATATACCAAAGGAATGCCAAAGACTGCCAGGCAGGCACTAGAGGCTAGGAGAGAGGCATGGAAAAGTCTCCCTCGCAACCCTCAGAAGGAAGCAACTATGCAACACCTTATCCAGACTTCTAGTTTCTAGAACCTTGAGACAATTTCTGTGGTTTAAGTATCCCTAGCTTTTGGTACTTATTAATTGTGAAATCTTGAGATAAGGGCTGCTTTCTAATAAACATGCCTTCCCAGTTCAGCCTTCCCTTAAAACTAAATTCCTGTCTTTGCATTCCAAACCATTCCTGCTACTCATGATCATTTCTTAGTTCCCCCCTCTTCCTTAACCTCACCCCACACCCTGCCTTAACAATGCCCTTCAGCACTGTTTTTTAGCAGTTCCACTGGCATTTTGGAAGATACAGTTCTTATGCAGGCTTGTCCTGAACTGCAGACTGCTAGGCATCCCTGGTACTCTCATTCCCCCAGGGAGCAACCGTGCCCACAGTGTAAACTTCTGCCCTAGAAATTTTGGAGCTACTAGCATGCCAGAGTTTGACTGAGGGTCCCACTATCTACTGCATAAGATCTCAGTGAGGTCATTAACAGCCATCTCTCCATTTGCGAAAGGGGAATAAAGAACTACCTTGCTATGCGACTCTCATGATTCAATGAATCAAAGTTCCTAAGGAATCCAAGTTTATCCCTACCAGCTCATTTAGAAATTAACACCTAGTTTGTTCTACATGGTCACATCTTAACATTAACAGTCCTGGGAATCCTTTTAGAGGATTCCTTATATAGTGAAGCTTCACTAAATACGTTTGTGGAAATGCAACTGCTTAACTGCTCACTGCATGTTTAAAATAGCTGTAAGTCAAGCAAAGTAGCAGGACTTTGCAAGTACACTTGCAAAGAGCCAGACAAGTCTGAGAGGGGCTTCTGTGTTGCCCTCCCTCCATTCCCACGCCCATCTGAAAACATAGCTGCAGCTCTAGGCAAAGCACCTTGCTTTCCAACTTCACTTCCAATCTCCCTGCTTCTCCAACAGCCCTGGATATACTGCCCAGCTGGCTAAGGAAACATCCCCCAAGCCAGCATCAGCACTGATTTGTGCCATGAAGCCAGATCTATGCCCATTCCCTGACCATCAGGCACACTCACACTCAAAACAACACCTGGGGTTGCTTTAACAGAGCCTGGTGCTTAGTAGGTTTCAATGACTGGTGAATACATGGATCAATCAATGCATGCATGAGCACATGGCTGCATGAACAAGGAATGAATAAATTCAAGTTGTTAAATTCAACTTCCATTTTACCTTCAAGCTCAGCACTGACACAAATGACCTCAGAGCAAGACACTTTACTCTCTATACTGAAATTTCCTCCTCTGTGAAATTAGGTAATTGGATTTCACTATAAAAATCTCTTAGGTTTTCTTCTAGCTCTAAAAACTAAGCCCAGGAACTTTATAGCCAAGAACTGAAGATTTTATATCCTTTTTGAGAACTTTTATTTAAAGCAATGGGGGGGAGGGGTAAAGGTTTTTCTGAGATCACATACCATAGGTCCCTTCCTCGCAGGTAGCACAAAAGGAGGGGATGAAAGCCTGCAGAAAATATACAAGCTGCAAATACTGAAGACAAGGCTGAGTTAACTGAGCACTGTGGAGCAAATTATTATTGGTTTCTTTCAAGGACTCAGAGTCTACCCAATCCTCAAAAAAAGGACCTTAGGGGCCTCTGCTGACTGCTCCCTCCCACCTAAAGCTCCCCTTTCCAGCCTAGGAAGGCTCATGCACTCTCTCCCAGGCCCCAAATCTAACCCAATCCCTCTCCCTGCCATCTGCCTAAGGCTCCCACATGCATAATTTATGATTTCTGGCACATTTCCTCCTTATCTGACATCCTGCAATGCATCCCTCTGCCACCTATGTTATTTCTATCTCTGGTAAGAATGTTCCTGAAAGAGGCATGTGTCCTTGAACTGTACTTTATATCACTGGTTTTACCTTTCCTATCTTATCTCCCCACCTGGTCCCTGAATTCCCAGAAGAGAAAGACCACACCCTCTGTTCTCCTTCAGTTCTCCCCCTATAGGACCAAGAGAAGAGGTGGGCAAGCAGCAGATATTTAGAAAATACTTGTTGAATGAACAAAATAATGAATTAATTAATGAACTGACAGATTTCAATGTCTTTAAATGTAAAGACATTAATATATTAATATTAAAAGTCATATTAATATATTTATTCCTAGATAAAATAACTAAAACCTTTTAAGGTATACAACCCAGAATAAATTAAATCTTTAAAAGATACTTCTATGAATACACTATATTTCTTCAAATTGAAATAAAATGTCCTTCACTACAATACGACTGACGGCAACATTATCAGCTGCATAAGAAATCTGATTTTCAGGTATCCATAGCATAATAATATGGCATTGTTCTAATTCCCTAGTAAAAGAAAAGTTTACCTGGATCTGGGAAGGATAAAAGGGCAAATGACCCTTGGTATTAATTATTCCAACTATCACTGGCATGTTTTGAAGCTGAAGAGTCTGGGGAAATCAAAACAAGATATGAGGATGTCTTTTAGATTGTTTACTTAACTTTATTGTTGATCTGAGCAGAAGATCATTTTGGAATTCCCTAGGACTTACTTAGCTAAGTCTAATTCTAGTCACATTCCTTCCTTGGGATTTATCAATTCCAGCTAAAACCAAACTGACTTGGGAATGAAATTATTTTTCTCCCATTACTTGCTGGTCACCACAGATCAGCGTCAATGGTCAATGCAAACCGCTGAAGGGAAAGCATTATGACTCTGTCATCAGAGAGTAATACAACTTAATGCTACATTCCCCATTAGTCTCCTCATACCTATAGTTGACCTACACAATTTCATTATCTCTTAGAAATCATTATTCTTGCAAATAAGTATAAATTTAGCATCACCTATTTAGTATACTACATTTACAGGAAAACTGTGTACTAACATAGGAGATAATATTACAATTAGAGAGACTCCATGAGTATTGCCTAAAAATCAGGTCTTAAATAACAGACTATTAACACAGATAATTAGTGTTTATGGGTTGTCCATCAGGTAATAACAGTGTTTATGGGTTGTCCATCAGGTAATAACAGTATGTTTTCCAGCTCACTCAAACCATGTCAGAACACACACTACCAGTGAGAGCACGGCGGACACCCGCGATCACAAAAAAACACAAAGGAAAAAACACACACACACACATACACACACACGTTAAAGTAAAAGAAACTGTTAGGAGAACATATCCACATATATCAAACTGATAAAGTCAAAACATTTTAAAGCTAGAATTCAATTCTGAGTTATTCATCACAATCCTTCACACTCCAGAAGAGAAACTCAGGCAAGGACCTTATCCAAGTTTACATCAGCTCTTGGTCAGAGCTCACATGAAAGCTGGGGTTCTTGGTCTAGCTTCATGTGCTGAACATATACCATTAAATTTAAAAATTAAAAAGGCACATATCAGACAGGCAATAAATACCTGTCAATGGAATTAAGGTACCAGAGATGCAAGGTTCCAGAACTATCTTGAGATACTACCTACTGCCAGGGCAAATCATGTACTGACTTCAAGTTTTCACTTTGACTAGATCAACATAGCTTAGGCTTCTTAATCTTGAAAGCATCCCTCTACAATCAAGAAAATGCTATTGGAACAATTACTGAAGGAAGCAAGTTGGTGGTGAAACCAAAAGCTTTGTAGCATTCTTAGGATGCTATCCATGAAAAGATGGGTCTCCAAACATGTGAAATACAGTTTCAGTGGAGAAATCTTTAAAAGGCAGGTATGACTAAGCAACCACAAATAACTAGAAATGGCAAAAACTCAGCAGTCTGGGGACAAGTGCATGCCTGCATATACAGATAAGTTGGAGTTTCCTCATCTATTGTTCCTAATGCAAAAGGGGGTCTTTTTTTGCACTAGTGTTGATTTCCTTTTAAATAAATGATCTTAATGGTTAATAAGGATTTGCAAACAATATTTTATTCCATCCTGTATCCCACCTGCTTTAGAATTAAAATTTGGGATAGCCTGGTTGAGTTAGTTGATGGGGATCCTAATGGCACTATTCGATGTATTTGATTATATACTTTACCAAAGAGCCTCTTAAATCGATAATTTAACTCTTAGCTAAGGAAAGTAAATATTAATAATGTAAAACATGTTGCTACATGACTTAAGTACAGTACCACGTGTTTCCTTAAACTCTAATAACTCTAGCTATTTAACTTCTCTTCTTCCTAAGAAAAATTCTTCCTACAAAAATCAAGAACATGGACTAAATAAAACAACTTAAAATAATTACATCTATCTATCTATATAAAGAGATACATGTATATATGTGTATGTATATATGACGAAATTGACCACAACATTACAGGGGAAAAGAACCCAAACACACAGATTTACCTAAAGATATAAAAATATTGATAGCACCTTAAGCAAAAAAAAAGTGACAATTAAACAAATAAAAATCCCTGGCAGGACAGAACAAACCTGGTTTGTTGTTCTCTTGGCTCCGATATATAACTAAAGAAATGTACTTAGTGGTGGGGAAGGGCATGTGGAGAGAAATGACTACCTAAACTTGTTTCAATCAAGACTTAGTCTAGCAAATCAAACAATCAAGAAAACTCCGGTACAAAACACAACCAGGCTGAATGTCCCAAAACGGAATGAACTAACACTAAGGGAAGAGGGAACCCCAAAGCTCTCCGACACCCCTTTTCCCCCAAATTACCGAGGCACACAAATGGAGTTGGGGGCTTATCCCAGACTCCATTTTCCCCGCCAGCTGTCTCCTTCCCAGGGCGCACAGGATGGGCACGGAGGTGAGTCCCGGAGTCTCCCACCCACCTTAGCTCTCCAACCCTTTCATTGTTGTCCAACTGTGCTACATCACCTGCCCCGCGAGGACTCCCGCGGTGGGACGCGCCGCGCGCCGGAACCCGCAGGAACCAGCGACCCGAGCCCCCCGCCGGACCGCGTCCCCCACCCCCCGCAGACCCGAACCCGGTCGACTGCCGGACCCCGCAGTGCTCACCGCCACGAAACCCGAGGAGGAGGCGACGAACACGCGCACGACCATCCTCTCACCAAGACGGGACAGACCGTCTGTCCCGCCGGCTCGGGGCAGGCTCCGGATGCTGTGGCAGAAGTCAGTTTACAGAAGCCGCCGCAGCCGCCAAGCAAAAACGCTCCCGTCGGGCACGATCGCGGGGATCTGCCTCCCTCCCGCCGCGTCCGCAGATGAAAGCCCAGCGTCTGCCCGCCGCCAGCCGCGGGGGAGGAGGGGGAGGAGGAGGAGGAGGAGGAGGGAGCCGCCGCGGGGCGTGATGGGAGTTGTAGTTTCCGCCTCGCCCTGGTGTGGCTTGTGGACTGAGCTCTTCCCAGTCCCCTTTTTACTGCGCGTCAGTGTACGCGCGCAGGTGAGCGGTGACGCGGAGGGGGGCGCAAGGACCCTGGCTAGCGGGGGTGGAGGCGTCGGGGATAAGAAAAGTGGGCACGAGGGCTAGGTTCAAAGGCCAAGTGTGAGTTTGTGTTGTGATTCATGAGTTTGGAGGTTCCCCACCCTGAAACACCAGTGCACTCGGTCGAGCCTTGGAGACCCTTCGCCTCAGGGCCGCCCGCGCGCTGGGCTGGCGCAGCTACCCGCGGCGGGCGAGGGGGGTGGGCCGGGCTCCGGGGGCGGGGGCGGTGGGGTCGGTGCGGCTCTCTTTTCCCAGAGACTCTGGAGACTAGTGAAAGGTGATTCTTTTCGGTAAATGAGATGATTTCTTTTTCTGTGGACGCTGAAAATTAGAAACCCAGATGAGAGCACAACCGATATTTTCTTTTTCTCAGCAAAACTGTAATTGTAGTAGAAAAAAATAAATAGCAGGCGAAATTAGAATCCTTCGATCAGCACTGGGAATCAAGACCCCACCCGCCACACCCCTACCCTACACAATGGCTTTGCCTCTCTGCACCTAATATTTACAGTTGAGCCAAATCTGTGCCATTTTCAGACCCACTGCACATTCCAGCACAGTCTCCCAGGAGGTCGCTGTTAAAATAAAAGCCTTTATGTAGTTGCTAGTAGTTTAGGAATAGTTCTTTAGCAAGTGTTTGCTGTTAAACAAAAGCGCAAGCCTCTCACAGTTGTGTGGCATTGAACCAATTTTCCCTACAGTACTGTATTTACTTTGTGCCTCTCAGCAGGGCTGTCTAGCGGAGTTCTGGGAACATTGTTAATTAATAGTTTGAGAAAGAAAAAAATTAGATGTGGTTTCTGCTCTCGGGTAAATTACTTGCACGAATACTAATCGTTTTTGGATCAATTTTTTAGAGATCTTTTGAATATCTCAAGTTTATAACCTTTCCTATTATCTAAGTTAGTTCTGTAGTATTCCCTATTGATTTAGTAAAATAGCAAAAGATATAATCTTAATGAAAAATTTTCATACTATTCATAATATTCAACAATTTTAAATGTGTTTTATCACAGTTAACATCTCTGCTGATGTATCTTAATTTGGCTACCAAAAATGTAGACATGTTTGTTTATAAAATTTAAAATAACTTTCTTAGATATTATATTTACTATATAAATATCTTCGTAAACGTCAACATTTTCTTAGGTTGGAATTATTCAACTGTGAAGTCATGATTAAACTCAAATAGGAACTCATAACCTATTCTGTGAAATGTTCCAGAGTGGATGAAAAGTTGAAGGAGTCGTTTCCGCACCCAGCAGAGCATCTATTGTCTGCAATAAAGGTACAAAAATAGCAACTGAACAGGACACCACGTACCAAAAGAGTGTTGTGTGGATATAAAGAAAGAGAGGGAAAGGGTGGGTTTTTAGAAGACACCTTAAATTTCTTTGGGCAGGTGAGGATGCTAGGTTAGAACATGCAGTGAGTGTGAGAAGAGCAAGGAGTTGGTTTTGTTTTAGAGAGGAGTATGAAAAGACTAACAGACAAGTTGAAACTGTAAGTTGGAATGAATACAGCAGGGGTCTGTCAATGGATTGTCTGCCCAGCTCTTCTCCTTTTCTGTCATCTGTTCCTCTGCTTTGATCCAGGAGGTTGGTTATTCCCCAATACCTGTCATACAGCATAACCCATCCCCTGATCCCAGCTGTTTGGTTAGGGGTAACACCTGACTCAAGCAAGGCTAGGCAACATTCCTACCCCCAAAGAATTAGAACTGGGAAAGAGAGAGAGAACTTGAACTTCAACTTAGAAGCTAAGTTTTTCAGAGAAACTGAAAAAACTAGTCAGTAAGAAGAGAACACAGAATATTAAACCAATTTTTAATATGGTTATGTATATACTTCTGTATTATTAAATGTCATGATATAGTGGTGGACCAAATAGCTACCATAATTTTGAAAATCATGGGAAAAAATAAAATTTTGAGATATTTGCAACAATTAGAAACTGAAAATACTTGGGATTTCTGTTGGTTACAAAGTCACAAATACTATTGCTGTTACAGTGGTTTGTTGTCTGCATTCACAGAGGAAGGTTTTCATAAATACATGTTAGAGTTTAGTGCAAATATAAAGATTTTTTTCTCAAGTTCATGAACCCTCTAAATTGTATTCAGAAGTCCCATACTAGAGGTGAGTGGGGAGTCCAAGAACCTCAAATTAAGAAGCCCTGGTGTCTGGTTGTATCCAGTTTATACAAGCCTACAAATTTGCTTAAGAAAATAGTATAACATACATAAATAAGGAGCCAAGATGAATGCCTTGGAGAACTCCTACATTTAAGAATTAGAAAGAGAAGAGGAAATTAAAGAGTGGAAGAGCAATCAAAGTGCAAAACCTAAATAGTATAATGTCACAGAATCCAAGAGAAGAGTTGTAAGTTTCAGGAAGTAGAGGAGAGCTATGAATGTTACTCCACCTGGAAGTTAAGAAAAATGATTACAAAAATAGAGACTGAATTTGTTGGTTATGCAATCTGAGTTCTCATTCTAGCTTTGCCATTTAATATTTTGTCATATTTCATCACCTCTCGAAGCCTCAGTTTTCATGTCAATAAAATGAATATAAATAATGACTCTTAACTCAAGATTAATTATGCTTAGGATACTCTCCAAGTTATATCTTGTGGTATCTGTCTACCCATAGTCCTTCTAAAGCACATTCCAGTCTACCTAGTTACAGCTTCGTTTGAAACACATCTGTGTACCTACAGTGTGACCTATTACAGCTTGAAAGTAATGTATGATATATATGATGGTGCCTAGAAATACATGCTGGTCTTCTTTCAAGGATCTGCAATTGAAAAATGGAAAAACTAGCAGTGGGAATACAAAGGAGGATGCTGCAGGGAGGGTAGAATGGGGGTGAGAAACTGAGCAAGTAGAGGCAATGAAGGAAATGAAATGAAGAGTAAAAGGAAGTCCATCTATGACAAGGAGAGAAGAGAGCCACTATAGAATGAAAAGCAGACACTAGCAAGGAGATTTGCAGTTGTCTTATTTCCAACCTCTCTTTCTATGAATCCAGGTTGGCCACAGTTCCTGCCCCGAGGTTGCTGTTTAATAATACCCACCTTTTATCTCATGAGGTTTAAATAGGTCTCTTTTCCTGGGACCGATCCAATCCTGAAAACACCCATACAAATCATTTTCCTCTGTGAGTATTACAGGGGATGTAATGTCACATACCAACTGGAAAACATATACCCTAAACAGATTTTTGTCTGAAGTATTTTGATTTTTTCAATGTTGACACAAAAACTGAGTCAGCCAAGCCAAAACTTCTACAAATCCTATAAATATGGTTCTCCAGGTTTCTTCTTCCAATGAAAATTAAGTGTAGAGCTCGTGTTTGGTGCCCAATAAATCCACAAGAAGTGCTAAGTGTTATTATCTTGATGATCTATTATCACCACTGACCTTTGTGAAAAAGAACTTGCAGCGGAAGCACAGAGACTGAAGACAGATTGCAGTGGCTTTGGGACTGAGAGCCAGTGAGGCCAGGGAGGCAACAATATAGTCTGTTCTCATTGGGAGTTGAGTAGTGTTCAGAAGGGATGAGCAAAGGCAGAAGCTTGAAGGGGAATCTGGGAACATAAACATTCTTCGTTAAGGTTTATCTACAGATTAAATAAAGAGTTCTCTTAAACAGTCTGGTATCTCAGCTGTCCAAATTTTATTTTTAGAATAGAATTGAATCTGATTGATAATTCTGTGAGGGCTACCCTGTTCTTACACACTTAATCTGATACCATCTAGCTCCCCATAGATTTAACTCTCAAAGAAAGTTAAATTGTTCCTCTGAAATTGTTGTTCCTCTGAAAGCTGAGTTGACATCTTTGACAGTTAGTAGGTGACAGATTTGTAGGCGAGGAGGTTATAAGCCAAAGGGCAGGGGTAGGTGAGAGTGATTAAGGAACAGCCTCTGAGCCAGCCCTGGATTAATGACACAGCTGTATGACCTTCCTTAGGCAGTTTCCATAACTTACTGTTACCCCACCTTCCCTGTTGTTGCAGGGGGCGGGGGGATCTTAATGGAGATGATATATGTAAAGTGCTTTTTCACATAATGGCTGGAACACAGGACACAATAAGTATTAACTATTATTAATCTTGTAAAGTAAATCAGGAATGTCTTTCATCTGCATAAGACATGTAAACGATACAAATATTTCTGTTTCAATTATGTGATTTTAGCTTTCCAAACAAGGGTCTAGTTTGTATAACCCTCTTTGTATAGCATCATATTCAGTTCAAGTACTTACCTTTTTTATGTTAATGAAGTTTAGAAGCCATATTTAAGATAAAAGGAGTTTTAGTGAAATGAAGCAGCAATGAAGTCAAGTAATGCAGACTGAATTTCATAAGAGAATACTTCCATTGCTTTTATGTTGCTTCTTCAGACCCATTCTGTCTA